TTAAAAAAATTTTTATTAAATTTGATTAAGATTTAGTTGAATTATTGTTGTTTAAAGTTTAAAAAAAATTTACTTAGGAAAAATTTGCTTGATTTTTATTGACTCAACCCCATCTTATAAATAATTCATAAAATTTGATCCAATCATAGTGTGAAATTACTGGTATTAAATATTCAAAATATAATAAAATTGAATTGTATGGATTGCATAATTGGTTGATTGTCTTCTGAGTTATAAATTGCTTATGAAACCGTTTATGAAAACATGATAAAATTAAACATTTTGTTTGTATTTGATTGGTTAATTGTATAATTACTTATTAATAATTTGCACAACAAATTTTTATTATTTGTAGTGGTTATATAATTCTATTGTATCATTTAATTTGAATGATCACAATATTTCCATCAACAATTTTCGGCCATACGTATTTATATGCATGCCAGCTACACGAATTTTTGGACGTTATTCACATATTATTCATATATAATTCATATATAATTAATATATTATTCACATAACACAAATTACATGTAATTTTCTAACCCTATATTATAAAAGACATATGTTATATGTAATAATTGTTCTACAGATAATTTTAGCATTATAAATGTCGACATGTTCAATATTAGTAAATTTCGTTTTAATACTTGCTCAACATGTTTGAACATGTTTGGTGTGTTTAGTTTGTGCGAAACTTATGAATTTTGACAAGAAATAAAGGGCTCCAGATACAAAACAGATAATAAACATATTACACATATTACACTAGTACGCGTAGGTGCTAATATTAAAGTTAGATATGATCAGGAATTTGTCGACTGGTTTAAGCCCCAACTTATGGAAGATATACTAACACTTAAAAGTTTGGCAAATTTTCAAGTTTCGAAGTTTTCTTTTTCAATTATTTTGCCAACGAAAATACATTGAAAGCATCATGTTTCTATAACCAGAAATATTCGTATCGGTATGTGTCTTAAAATATTTATGGCCTTAAATTGTGTGCGTACGTATCAATTTCATAAATTTAATCGAATCGACCGAAAAATCATTCGGCTAATTTTCATCTGGTGTTTAAGGAATGAAAACAACTGTAATTCACAGACAAGTTCATTTCACAGACAGTTAATTTCACAGACAGTTAATTTCATTGACAAAGTAATTCTGGTCATTGTCGTTATGGACAGGTTTAGAATTAGAGTTAAGGTTATAAAAAAGTTTGTCGGTGAAATGAATTTATCTGTGAAATTATTGTCGGTAAAATAAGCTTGTCTGTAAATTAATTGTCTGAAATAATACGGATTCTCCTTTCTTATCGATTTAAGAGTTTAATATAGTTTTTATTAGTTTCAAATAAATTGGTTAATTTTTGATATACAGTAAAACAAATATTTTGATATATTTTTTTCAAGTTACTTACAGGTACCGAAATAATTAACACTTAGATAATGTGTACCAGTTTGTGCCGCAGACAAAATTCTTTAACGTTCATGTTAGGGTTAGGGTCAGAGTCAAGGCTAAAAGTTTAGAACATATATACTAAAATCGCACAAGGAAAACTTTTTATTAAGCATTAAAGGTGGTTTCTTATACAAATTTTTGGGAAATAAACAAAACGAACGTTGTTTTGAATTTTCTTGATCGTGTTACGTTATACCTACTTGAAAAATAGTTCAGGAGATCTGCACCACAACTCTGGTGCACATAATCCGAATGCTAACACATCATATTAATTGATGATTATGCTAGGTTCGTGATAGATAAGTTATCTTGCAAGCTTATGTGATCATGGCTTTTTTTTGTGCGTTATCACATGTTATTACATAAGCAAACCAATCCCAAAACAAAACTTAACCAATCATAACTTGTATGATAATAATTGCATGATAATAATTGTATGATAACATCGATATTGAATCATACGATGATACTTGAATGTGTACCAGGTTTGTGGCGTAGATTTACTGAATTACGAATCAGATTTCAAGATCAGGTTCAATGTAACACGATCAAGAAAATTCAAAACAAATGTTTGTTTCGCTTACTTCTTGTTCTCTAATAAAAAGTTTTCGGTGGGCAATTTTACTATACAAACGACCCTTCTCTAGCCCATAACACTAGTTGCGCCATAAACCTGGCACACATTCAAGTAATGCGATAATTATTACAAAATTTAGACCGTCGTCAATGTTACACATATATTAAACTGGTGAGGGATTATATCCATCACAATTGAATCCAATATAAATAATTTAATTTGTGATTGATCACAGGAGAGAGGGATTCACTCTGGATCGGGCACTGTCTCTGCTGTTTCTGTTGGCACATTTCTGCAAATTATTTGCTCCGACAAAACAAATTTCATGATATTAGATGACACAGATCCCTTGGCGGTGGGTTTGTTAGGCAAAGTATATTGGTAAATAAATCAGGCTTCGCGACTGAAGTATCAGTGCAAGAACCTCGTTTTTGCTTTACTGTATTAATTGTTGCATGACCAATATCTTACATGCAATGTGCAACCCCGCCCACAATTTTGATGCTAACTTAAATTAGTTTCTGAAATTAGATTTTAAACGATTATCTGATAATTCATTTGGGTGCTGACTTCAGGCATAATACTAATACTAGTTATGTGATCTTGCCGTATTATAGGACAATAAACAAAATTTTTTTTTTAAAAAAATTCTATTATTAGATTAGAGTTGGAATATTTCTGGTAGGTTAGGGTTAAAAGGTCATAACTGCACCAAATTTTCATAATAAAAAAACTTTTTATTAGTACGCAGGAAGCACAAAATTTTTGATTTATAAATTTGCATTTTCTCTTATGTTATACCTAATCTCAACTTTTGATTGTCTAGAGAAAATTTTCGGATTGCTTGTTTTAAACCCAGTTAAACGATTATTGTTCAAAAAAAAAAAATTTTAGACAATTCAAATCCCAATTATACATTCAAATGAAATCTCCTTAGGTTTCGAACTGAATTTAAAATTACGTTAACTTTATATATGTATCTTGATCGGCTTATATTTTAATTATGATAAACTAATTAATTAATAGAGCCGATGGCAAATTTACATCTCTATTTATACTTCGACATAAATAAAAATAGATATTTCAAAATTAAATAATATAGGTCCTTGCTAACCAAGTGATCCTCAATATATTTACTTTTTATCTTCGAAATAATTATATAAGCACTCTTCAAAAATTCGCCATCCACCGTCTGACTCTCCTTGATTTTATCATATTGCAAACCTGTAGTACTGAACTTGTACAGTATTTTTTATCGTAAGGCTAAACTCCTGCATTTGTCGATCATTTTCTATGTACAGTACTCGGAAATTGAAAACTAGATATTCTAGAAATGTACTCTTTAGGTCATAGAAGATTAACACAGAATTCTCGAATTTTAATGCTTAAATATGAAATGATCTACACAAATTCGAATATTCCATATTGAAGTACGAATTCTATATAAATTATCTGAATTCGAATTACATAAATTGACACAATCAAGAATCAATTTTAATTTTATTAATAACGCATTTTAATTAGCTGTATAATGTATAACGAAGAAAGCTCGCCAAGCATTAATTATAATCTATCTATGGAAAGGACTGTAGACTTTGCTCAAGATCAAAATAATATAAATTTGCTAAACATTTATGATAATCCATTCATAGAATGGTCCGCAAACTTTACTCAAGGTTATGAAGATCAAACTAATAATACTTTACCTACAGAATGGTCTATAGACTTGACTCATGATTCAACTAATACAAGTTTATCAAATATTTATAAGAATCCATCAATAGAATGGTCCGCAGGTTTTAGTCAGGATCAAACTAATAATAATCTACCTATAGAACGGTCCACAGAGTTTACGAATAACAATCCGTTTATGGAATGGAATGCTGTTTTTACACAATATCAAGCTAACGCAAGTTCACTAAACATTTATAATAATTCGATTATAGAATCGTCCACGGGCATAAGTCGAAAAGATCAAATAAATACAACTTTGCCAAACATTTATGGTACAGGAATTACTCAACCTTGTGATGAACAAATTAACACATTACAACAACAATTTAACGTAAAATCAATCAAAGAAAATGAACTTCCAGTTTCACTTGTTTCTAGGCGTAAAAGAAATCCAAAATGCAAGAAATGTAATTTTACAAAAATTCATTATGACGAAAATTCCAAGCAATGTAAAGATTGTTATCGGGCATCATTACGAGTCTTATGCGGAAACAAATTTATAGACAATTTTATCGAATCAACTCAAACTTTTTTTAAAAATTGTAGAAATTATTTAAAGAATTTTACTAACTATAACCGGCGGTGATCATCACCGGTGCACAATTAGCCAATAAAATTGCAGGATCAGGTGTAACGTGCAAATCAATTTGTGTAACCAAAATAAAGATTTTTTTAAAAAAAATGCTGATATCTCAAGAATTCGCCTATGAAACTACCTTCGACGTTCTAACAAAAAAAATTCCTCGCTAAATTTCGCATATATCTAACACCTTGTTAAAATCCCAGGCCTTACCCTAAACCTAAAGTAAATGAAATGAAATATTTTTTTAGTTCATCGTTATTGGTTAATTATACACCAGTAATGATCACCGCCGGTTATTTTAAGTAAAAACCTTATTTAAAATTAGAATTTATTCCATATAAACAATTGAGTACCTTGCTAAAGGAGGATTTAGTGTAATACATAAAGCAAAATGGATTGATGGCCCATTACTCGTTGGAATCCTAAGAAACAAAGATACAATCGAAAAGGAAATTATGATGTTGTTCTTAAAATTCTTAATAATTCTGAAAAAAATGGATTCTGATTATTTAAATGAGGTATATATATATGTAATTTATATTTATGTGACGTTAAATTTAGGGTAGTTTTAGGCATCTCCCGGGAGATGCGTATATCCCACGAATTACCCAAGAATTTAGTCAGAATTTAGTGTAACGTAACACGATCACGAAGATCAAAACAAACTTTCGTTTTTTCAAAAATCGTTTATTTCTCGAACATTTGCATAAGAAACTACCTTTCGTGCCCTAACAAAAAATTTTCCTTGAGCAATTTTACTATACCTATCACTAACTCTAACCCTAAAATAAACTCTAACCCTACCTTAAACGAATTTGGCTGTGGGAGATATATAACTTATATATATCCCGCGAGAGATGCCTATAATTTCCCTTAAATTTAAATCCTTATTGTTATTTTGTTTGTCATTTTAGTTGAAAAATTTTTTTCACTGCAAAAAAAATGAAAATAGTTATAGTAATGATCATAAAACTCTTCATCAGTATCTTGGCATTACGCAACATCCTCAAACAAAAAATTATATAATAGTTATAGAATTTGCACAGAATAGAGATTTACATTATTATTTATCGCTGTTTGCATATTGATGCAACCCATGATAAAATTTGTAGATCGCTGCATGCCAATTGTTCGATTGCAATCGATTGTATGTGATTGTAGCGATTTCTCAGCAACCATGATTAAATTCGATGAATTTTTTTTTTAATCTGAATTTTATGAATCTGTAGAATTCAAATAAAAAAAAAATTCATCGAATTTGATAAGGTGGTTGCTGAGATATCATCGCTCAAAGTTCTAGGAAAATTTGGCGCAGCTTCTATTGTTAATAAACATTGACATTTTAAAAAAAAAACTTTGAGCGATGATATCTCAGCAACCACTTGATCAAATTCGATGAATTTTTTTTTTATTTGAATTCTACAGATTCATAAAATGCAGATAAAAAAAAAATTCATCGAATTTGATCATGGTTGCTGAGAAATCGCTACAATCACATACAATCGATTGCAATCGAACAATTGGCATGCAGCGATCTACAAATTTTATCATGGGTTGCATCAATATGCAAACAGCGATAAATAATAATGTAAATGCCTTGTCATGGTTAGAAAAATTAAGACTATTACTTAGAATTTCAATTGGACTTAGATTAGTACACGCTAATAGAATTATTCATCGTGATCTTCATAGTGGCAATATTCTTATTAACCAGAATAGTGAACCAACGATTGCAGATTTAGGAATAAGCAAACCTGCATATGAATCGTTAGATAATAGTTCAATTTACGGGATTATTCCGTATGTTGCACCAGAGGTGCTAAAAGGAGGAAATTTTACAGTACTTTCGGATATCTATAGCTTTGGTATGATTATCTGGGAGGTAATAAGTGCTGTAGGCCATTTTCTGATCGTAAACATGATGAATACCTTATTCTGGATATTCTTAATGGTCTTCGTCCAAAAATTCCAGCCAGCGTTCCACAAGATTTAGTTGAATTAATGGAAAGTTGCTGGGATCCAGATCCAGGAAAAAGAGCATTGTATAATGGTTTACGTATTGATCCGAACGTACGTATTGATTCAGACCTTAAAGAACTTATTGAAAGAGCAGAAAGAGGAGTAATAAATTTTCCGGAAAATAATGATACAAGTTGTTTACCAACCAAAATAAATGAACAAGCAATATATTCTAGTCGATCATTAAATCTATTAATTAGTAAAGCATTAACTTTACAACGTATGAAATTAAGTAACAATACAATTACAAGTAAGAAAATATATTGTGCATATTATTTATTTTAGATATGAGCTAATATTAATCATGTCTATATTAATCAATTTTATTAGATACACAAATAATGATAATACAACAACTAAACAATAATCAAACAGATGATGATCCTAGAGCGATTGAATTTGATATAAACAAACTATAGATGGAATTTCAACCCTACTGTCAATCAGAAAGTTTCAGCAAGTGATCTTGTTTCAATTTTGCATAATTACTTTCAAACTGTTGAATTCTGATTATCCATTATTATAGTTTAAAGCTCATTTTGGACCTTTATTTTTGATCTAAAACAAACCGAATATCCGCATTTTTATATATTCATAACTTAATCTTATTTTTTTGTGAATCCTTTATATCGCATAAATAACCGATCAATCCGTATAGTGAAAATTTGCCCTTATGTAATCTGTATTATCCGAATTCGTATCATAGTCAAAATTCCTACGCGTGGTATTTTGAATTTATGCTATTTGATTCTATATAACTAGATCCAATATAGTACCAATTTATCTGTAATGGACGTACAAATTACTAGACTATTGGTTCATATAATTTATTCTTATTGGCAATTATATTTACCTAGAGTTTTTCCTTAGCAACGTTCATATATACTAGGAATCGGGAACCCGATATAAGTCCGGAGCATAAAATAAATTATAGATTAATATTATACATAATAATAAAATAAAATTTTAAATTTAATTTAATTTAGTTTATAATTTTTTAATTTAATTTAATTACAATTACTTAATAAAAAACCCACTTAATTATTAAAATATATAAAAAAATTTTTTTACAAGTTTTTAAAATTTGATTTGTTAAGTTATAAAAACCAATTAATTATTTTTTTAAAATTTTTTAATTATTGAACCTTTATATTATTTTAAATTTTTAATAAATGTTTTTATTTATACAAAATAAAATTTTTATAGCTCATAATTTGTGTTCATTGTCAATCTCGGAAAAAACCAGATCTGATATTATTAAAAATTTTAGTCTTAATGCTGGCCAAGTTTATTATAATTATGGCCAGCATTAAATCTATATATTTGTAACTTACATTAGGGTCATGTAAGTTACATTGTCAGGTAAGTTATCCCATTCCAAGTCATGGTAGATTCTTGATTTTGATGGCTAAACAGTCATGGTTCTGCAAAATTTTAGCCAGCATTACATAACTGTTTACTAATTTCTGGCCGGAATTAACATTTTGATTTTTCATTACAAAAATAGAAGTTTTTGGAAAATAAGCCCGCACTATGGTAAAATTGGCTCCGGAACAATTTTCATTTGAATAGGCGGCTGTAATTTCATTAGTAAAAATTTTGCGTAATTCTGGCCAAAGTTTTAATTGTCACACTTAGTCACAAAATCGAGATCTGCTATGAAATTTTATTGCGGCAGCTAGGGTTAATACAATATCACTTGCTACGTATTAAATTTGCATGCAATTCGACTTGAAATTAATTACCGTAAATCACCATGGGTGGTGCTCATTTCACCGACAATCACTTCGCCGACAGCTTAGTTCACCGACCGACAAGTTCATTTCACCGACAATTAATTCGCCGACAGCTCATTTCACAGACAAAGTAATTCTGGCCATTTCCGTTAAGGTCAGGCTAGAATTAGAGTTAATGTTAGTGTAGTTTATAAAAAAAGCTTGTTGGTAAAATGAACTTGTCGTTGAATTAATTGTCGGTGAAATGAACTTGTTGGTAAATTGATTGTCAGTAAACTAAGATGTTGATGAAGTGATTGTCGGTGAAATGATATGTATCCTTTCACAAATTTCTAGAAAAGTATTGTTCACCTCTGACATGTGGGCTGCATCAAATGATGCTGCATTCCTTAGTTTAACAATCCATTACATTAACTCTTCTTGGAAACTAATTAGTTTCCTCTTAGATATTATCCTAATGGAAGTATGTTATATAGAGTTCAATATAGCTAATGCTATATTAAACACTCTTTATAAATTTAATATAGCAAGAAAGGCTTTAGCTCTCACTACTGATAATGCTTCGTCAATGATCATTTGTGGTGAAATAATAACAGAAGAGCTTGAACAGGAATTTGATGATCTTGGGTTTTCATATTATATATACATAGCTTATTTTTTAAACCTTATAGTTAATAAAGGGTTTGAACATGTAGACAGATCAATTACAAAAATAAGAGCATTGATATCATATATTAAACCGTCCAAACTGACAAACAATGCTTTGAAGGAATTTTGTAAAATAAAAGATATTACCTATTTAATGCCTAGAATTGATATTAAAATGAGGTGGAATTTCACCTACTATATGCTTAGTAGATGGAAAAAGTTAGAACCCACATTTAATTTACTTGTAGCTAATGATCAAATTGTCAGAAATAAATATTTGAATATGAAAACCTTTATAATATTAATATAAGTATGATTTTTATTATTATTATTATTATTATTTTTTTTAAAAAACGTATATACTATTTTTTTTTTTAAACAAAAGGATACAATTATTCTTCTTAAACTGATAGAACATGCAACTCATTTTTTGTCTGCTTTAAGCTACCCAACACATGGTGATGTTTGAATTGTTATTTATAGCATTCAGAAATATTTAGCACATTACAAAAATAATATTAGCTTCTTATAAGCTCAAATAGCTGATGCAATATATTAGAAACTAGAAAGCTATTGGTCAATACTAGATGAATCATCTCAAGTTTTGGTGTTTCTTGATCTACAGATAAACATGTCTGCATTTAAAACCGAATATGAAAAAGATAAAATAATTAATTTAGTTTCAGGATTAAATGAATATTTATCTGAAACATTACAATTCACCATCCTTACTGATAACTTGACCAATGACAGAGATTATTTCCGTAATCTATATGCTTTAAAAACATCTTTTTCTTTTATATATAGTATGTCTTCAACAAACTGTATATATAAAGAAATAAAAAAATATCTTGCAATACCTTTACTTAGCCATGTTGATCCTCTATGTTGGTGGCAGACACAATATTTTGAATATCCAATCCTAAGTAATATGGTCTGTGATTATTTGTCAATTCAAGCAACAAGCATTGTATCAGAGCAAGCCTTTTCAATTGCCAATAAAACAATTATAGAAGAAAGAAACAAGCTAGAAGAAGAAACAGCAAAAGCAATCTTTTGTCTAAAAAGTTAGCTTCATAAAGAAATATGCTAAGATCTAATTTTCTAAGTAGTAATTCTGTTAGATTAAATTTGCTTTGCTAATTTGCTTTGAATATAATGAACATTCAATTACAGATTTCAGTTTTTTTTTTAAAAAAAAATTTGTTCTTTATTAAAATATTAATTTGTATATTACAATTCAACAAAACTAAAGAAGTAAAAAAAAAACTACATCTTATAAAACAGTACTCTGTTTTTAAGCAAAACTTAAAGCTCTAATTATTTATCATTATTATAAGCAAAAAGAGTGAAAAGAACGAAGATGCGATTAATATTAAGATTGATTATATTGATATTAATAAACTGTTCTCATTGGTTTATTGTCATGTGTTGTTACACAAATCTGAAAAAATCAAAATACTGGTCTTTGGACCAAGACTGGATTAAAAAGTATTATTGGACCGGTCTTATTAGGACTGGATTAGACAGGACTGGACTGATCCATCTCTACTTGTAAATGAATCATATAACTATTTATTTGTATTATGTAGTATATTTGATATATATTATTAATTATTGATTTTTATATAACAGGCTATATATTATTTATATTCTTATTTGATTTGTATCATTTTATAATTAACCAAATGTTTATCAATATATATTATAATCAATGATAATTGGCAAAGAGATTAAAATCGATATATATTCTTAAAACTAGTAATTAATATATATCTATATAAAAATTTTGCTAATGATCATTGTATAATCAATATCTTATAATTATAATTATTCAGAATTTTATTAGTTAAAATTTCTACTTTTAGTTAATTGAAATAAATCGAAAGTTTTATTTAATTTTTACTTAGAATTAAAATAAAATTTTTGTGACTCAGATTTTAAATTTATTAGTCATTTAATTTTTTATATAAAATTTATAAATATTCATAATTAATCATATGAATATCTATCCAAAGTCTAAATATTTATTAATAGTATTCATAAATATCCAAAATCTGTAAATTTTCACTAAATATTTATGATGGATATTCAAAAAAATCTAAACTCTATATATATTTATATACAACATCAAATATTTAATTAATATATTAATTGATGATTCTCCAGTGAACAGGAGCATGATCATAGTGTAATGTGACATGGTTTTATATGTAAATTACTATAGACAGAAATCTGGAAAATTTCTTAAGAAAAATAGTGATTCTTCAAAGAAAATTTTTTTTC